TCAGGTTGTGTTGGGTCGACTACCTTCACGACCAGGTAGACTTAGGGTCCCAGTTGTTTGGGACAACGGGTCCGTGGTACCCCGACTTGACTATCTCTACCTCCTAGGATCACTTTTCCTTGCCTTTTAACTACCCCTGTTGAGCCATTTCTGCTCCTTTGACTTCGTTGGTGTCACTTTGACGGCCCGATGCCGATAAGCTGCCGCCTGTTCGGGATACGACGATTTGTCCTCTGCCCTTACGGTCCGGATGTGCTATGACGTATTGGGATACCCCTGTTGAAGTGATTTATGGTTATTTCGTAGGTTTCGTGAGTTGAGAAGCCGCTATCCATTTGGCGTGAGAGATTCACTTTCCGCCCGATGGTGCAGCGTGAGCTTCAAAGCATCGAGACTATTCCATACGAAATAATCACTTTTTGATAACCTATACCCCATGTTCATAATGATAAAGCGAAACTCCTTACATCGAGAGTCTTCTTGGGTATCCCCCGAGATGTAATTAACCAGTAGGAATACGTTCCTCTGAGAGACTTTTGACCCCAGAACAAAAAATGTTCTTTTTGGTTCTCTGGTTACGGGTAGTTCATATAGAGATTTTACTCGTGGATGTTGTTTTCTTTTTCCGAGGTACTTCAATCCGATTTTGTTTGGATGTATACTCTTGATCCATCACACGAGAATTATTCCTATATAAGCCTTCCGTCTCTTTTTCTTTTTTGATTTGTTTGCCTATTTGTTGTAGTACGTTAGTTCACTATTCGATTTCTCTCCTCTTCGAATCATTCATTTGGTTCAAGAGGGAGATTTACTCGAATAGGGAAATTATACGACGACATACAAAAAGGCAAGCTGGCGACTCCGAGATCTAAAAAGAACCAAAAGAGAAAAACAGAGTCAGGGGACCATTTTGCACTTTTCACTTTTGTTTTTCCAATTCGAGGTTTAAATGATGTGTTATATCTGTAAAGCTGTTTTAGTGCAAGTTCTATCCATGTTTTTAAATGCTCATCATTCAAATCCATTTAACATCAATTTTATCTATCATCTTATTTATGCATTTTTTGCCCCTCTTTCTACATTTTCAAACCTCCTGTGCAATTTTTTTACTATCTTATAATTAATAAGTTTACTATCATCATCCTTCTAATATAATCATTTACAATCTAAACTTCTTAAGATAGTGCAACTGCTTATCATTTACATTCTAATCCTCGACATGAAATACTTATAAAAACATATGCAAAGAAATTAAAGATAAATTGTTACAACTATAAGGTAGGTAGAATGGATAACAAAAAGAGCTACTATATTTTTGTTCATGATGTTTAAAGTTCATCATAAGCAAAACAAAGAAGGTAGCAAACATGTCCTGTTATTGTACAAATTCAGATTTAGACAATTTGTACTGCTGAACTGCATAGAAGATAGGCAATAAAATAATTCACTTTTATAACTGCTTTCTGGATATGCTCATTATGAATCGAACAGTACAGAGGACAAACTAATTATTACCCATTTAAATGAGGTTTCAAAATAGTCCCTTGACTATTTACATGGGGCAATCTTAGTCCGTAGAGTTTATAAAAGTGTAAAATTAATCCTCGTGCTCTTTTAATAATGCAACCCCCTAAAAGAGTATGGGATTACATTGATAATTTTAGAGACTTTGGGGCTAAAATGACTAGCTGTAAATGGTCGGGAGACCATTTTGATGCTTTTCTTCATTCCATTTTATCAGGTAAGAGACTGACTGCTTACCTAGCTCACAAAATTTTCAGTCTAGGAAGAAAAATATAAGAAAATGAGGGCTAAAATTGACCAGAATTGAAAGAGGACATTACCTTGAGTGCCTCGACGCGACAATTTATCATGCGATTGAATTCTGAAAGCAAGATACAGTGAGCTTGGATCTCATTACCCATGTCCTTTAAAGGGCTTCGAGCTAATCTTCCATCAGTTTGAGATGCCTCAGCGGCCAATACAGTTAATTCTGCAAGTAGGACCAATCATTCAATAAAAACGGTCTCCAACAATGAACTAGAATTTAGGGCTTGATTTGAATAACATTTGTTTTTGTTTTTACTTTCATTTTTAAATTATATTTGTTTAGTGTAATTTCTGCATATTTTTGTTTTTTGTTTTAAAAAAAATTAGCGTATTTTTAAAAATATTTGAAACATCTAAAACTTATTCTGAGTTGTTTTAAAAGCAACTAAACATGCTATAACATATCAAATACATTTTATTTCAAGTGAAAATATACAACAACAACAAAGCCTTAATCCCACTACGTGGGGTCGGCTACATGAATCATTTTTCTCCATTGCGTCCAATTTAAATAAATATATAAACAAAACAAAATAAAAAACAAAAATCAAAAGTGATCCAAATGGCCCCTAAGGATAGACGAATTGTCTCAATAATAATGGAACAGGACCTTCAGATGCCGAGACTGTTAAGATCCTCGCAAAAGCACGAAGTGCTTGTGGAATGCCTTTTCCTATTCTACCTGAAGTTTTCACTTCCCTGTTGGCATATATCAAAGTGCGCATTCAACTTGTCATATAACGGATATCCCCTTTAAGCAGGAAACTAAAGAAATTTCATAAAGCAAGAGCAGGATATAATGATGCCCTCAAGTTTACACGTGTAAGTGCTCATTTTAGGGCATGTATCACCTGATTAGTACTTAGAGCATAAATCAATTATTTAATAATTAGAAAATTAATAATATCATCGATGCTTAATGATAAAAAAAGGCATTAAAGAAGCCCGTTAATTAGGTTAAGCAATTCATGATTATGCTGCCGAACCATTTAATGGTGACAATGAAAGACCATTTGCATGGGGATAACTAAGATACAATCAGGTTCTGATTAATTAATTATGGACATTTTAATTATTATTTCCTTAAATGAACAAAAATTATGCTAATATACATAAATCAATTAATAACTAGGATTCACATACTAAGGTTAAGTGCAGTAGATAATCAGGCCAACTAACTAGGACTTCAAAAATAATAAAAATAATAATGATAATGATGATGACAATGATGTTGATGCGAGAATGAATTAATTGATTCTTAATTTTGATAACAAAAATTAAATTACAGATTAAATAACATTAAACAGATAATAATTCAATATACTTTTGATAATGCCTGCAGTTGCGTAATTACAACACATGCATCATGGTAACAATAACAAAAGCAGTAAAACAATGTCAACATTAACCAACTATTGGTCAAAATAATTGCCAATTAGATCAATAATTGTTAATTTGATTCAATAGGATTTTAAATTTGGTACTACCCGCATTGCACCAAATCCTTAGAGTGTTGCACATGATAGGATGACTTTAATAATGCATTAAGAAGCGGTTTGCAAGATGGGCTTCGAAAGCTAGAAGTCATTTTGTACAAGGATTTGACAGGTAATAAAAAGATTTATCTTGGTTCCAATCTAGCGTTTCTAGAGGATTGATGGCCACAAGGTTAATGTGAAATAAAAAAAGAATTATGAGAAATAATCTGATGGTGTGGGATTTTTTCCTCCTCTTCTTCATGTGTGGGTGTATTTGGGAATTAAAAGTGTAGTTGAGTGCTCTTGATTTGTACTTGTCAGTTGTAGTTTCTCTGCCAGCGGATCAAAACCTCTCTCTTCTCCCATGGATAAAAACTTGGTTGAACCATATAAATATAGGTCTCTCTACCATTAATGTGTTCCTCTTTTTCTGTTTAAACATAGAGCATCGTTCTCAATCTTGGCGATGCTTCTGAGTTTTTTTTTGGAATCATTACTACAAATAGTTAAAAAAATGTACTTTTCAGATCAAAGCCAAGAAATTTTAAATCAAGAAATTCGATAAGTTAAAAAATCTTGGCTATTGGAGAACTGAACTACTAGAGTGATTGCCGTTGAGTGAAGATGAAAAAGCACAACCTAAGTGTGTTCAGTGGGCGAGATTTTGACCTAGAGCAGAGAGAGATTCATCACAAAGGTTTACGACTCAAGAAAGAGTAATTTTTTTGACATAACCTTTACAAGAAGACCTCTCAGAAGAAAGGATTATTTTTGCATTCACTATGCTCAAGAAAGAGTAATTTTTTTGACATAACCTTTACAAGAAGAGCTCTCAGAAGAAAGGATTATTTTTGCATTCACTATGGCACATTGATCAAACCACATTTGAATTTATTTAGTTCAATTATTCATGATTTCAGAAATATTGATGTGACTATTTGTTGGATAAAAAATTATCCATGGATAAACTAGAACCTTCCTAACACTTACAATGAAAAGAGCCAAGAAAATAGGAGAAAGAGACGAATTAGGGTAAGAAACTCTGGGGTTTCACTATAATTGGTTCAAATACCAAAATTCGTTTAACAGGGCGCTTTCAACAAACCCCTATTTAAAGGTTTGAAGAGGGGATTGATCACAATAGAAAAGGCTCCATATTAACTTAAATGACTAGGTAAGGTACATAATAAGACTAAAGCCTTCTTGCAGTAGAGAAAAGTATTTGAACTTGTAGCTGACTTGCTTAGAGGAGTTGGCCAAACTTTTTTTATGAAATGATTGGCTTGGCGAGTAGCTACTGAGTTTCAACAAATATGCTGAAATTTGGTAATTAAGCTTGAGCTTGAATGAATATTACTTTAGACTCTGGCGAGTTCACCAGAAGCCCACTGAGTTCACTAGAAGTCAACTGAGTTCAACATGACTTTGTGATTTAGGGCGAGTTCATATCAAATTGTGTGAGTTTATGCCTATTCAATCGAGTTCAAGTTGATTTGAATGAATTATAATTGTCTTATACCATGGAGTTAAACTTTTAGATATTTAGATATACATTAATTTTTTCTCACTTATTTCTTTCAAGTGTAACGGCAAAAAACAATAAAGTAAAAATAAAAATAAAGACTTTTTCCTTTGAAATAGCAATATCATGATTTCTCACTTCTCTTAAAGAGAATTTCACCTACCTTACAGAGTTCATTGTTCACTTCATCCTTCAAAATATAAAAGAATTGGAAACTAAATGGAAATTCAAATATCTCATGATTACATTCATGATAAACTTGCCAAACTCATGGTAAACTCTTCAAAATTATGGTGAACACATCAAACATATGGTGATTTCATCAAACTCATGATAAACTAGTTAAACTAATGGTGAACCCGCCATAGTCAGAAAAAGCAGTCGACAAAGTTCTTGACAACTCACCCTAGATTGGGCATATCCAAGTGCCAAAAGTGCATGACAAGTCAACAACTATCGACAAAGTTCTTGACAACTCACCGTAGATTGGGCATATTCATCCAAGTGCCAAAAGTGCATGACAAGTCAACAACTACGTTAAGGAAGATCAATGATCTATTTCTAGCAAGTCAGTTATATGTAGGGCTAGCAAAAAAAAAAACTCAGCATTAGTGAATAGCTTGTGTTCAACTCGCTAAGGAACTTGTCTTTGATTACTTCATTAAGGAAGCAAGTTGAACACATAATTTCTTTAGCTAAATTTAAAAACGAACCAAACCCAAACAGAGATTTGCTTAATCGTGTTAAGCTCATTTTGACTCGAATTAATTAAATAGTTAAAAAAATATTTACTATAACCTTTTTATATTAACATATTTAGTTATTTTTAAAATAAAAGTCAAATTTTACATTTTTTTTTTTTTAAATCATTCAAGATAAATTCAAGTCAAACACGAGCTAAAGCAAACAAACAAATTTGAATCAAGTCGAACACGAACATGTTATTCATGAGCCGATTTTAATTAAAACAAATATAATTTGAATGAGATGAACATAAACAAGCACTTGTTTATATCCCAAGCTATATGTCAAGTACTCAATCATGGTGAAATTAGGCCACTTGTCTCACGTATTTTACAACAAGTGATCAATGGTTCTTACTGTGTATTTCTCTCATTCATGTAACTCAATATATCAATTTTTTTTGTATCGCTCAAAGTCTAATCCCGAGATAACACAATCTGACCCACTTTCATGTACTAGAATCTATAGTGTGAAACTGACCCACTTTCATATACTAGAATCCACAACGTGAAAATCAAAAAGCTTATCACTCTAAATCGCGTCTTTCTCACTTATTTCCTCTCCTATTTTGTTGTGAGTATTAGCAAGGATATGGAGGAACCCTCGAATAGTTTTGGATAAAACATATTGCCCAATCAGCATTATAAACTTGAAGCTTCCATTAAATTTCTGCTGACATAAATTTTACATGACAATCCAAATCGTTACCTCCCCCTAAGATCTTGTATTTGGTTCATAATGAATTGATTTTGAGCTTCCGTTTCATATAATTGTACAATTTAAACAAGAAAAACCAAATTTTACAGCCTTCATGAGCAAGTATTTCTTATGGAGAGTTCACGAAATAAATAATGAACACAAAAAAAACTAACACAGACATGATTTTAAAAGTGCGCCCAGAAGAGCTGAAAAAATTATCTTTTCCAGTTGGTAGCTGAGGATGCTTATGAAGAAGCTCCGTCTTCATTTTGTGTAGAGGGTCATATAATGGGACCTCCATGAAGATTTGGACCTGGCAACCATTGAGATATCAGTTAGGAAAGATGAATAATCTGCCACGAGAATGTGCCATATGAATACTCAAATCACTAAAAGAAAGCTGTTTAGTTCGATAAAGCAAACAAAGAAAACAAAAATTAGCAAAAACAATACTATATAATTTCAATACATGTCCAAGCCTCCTCAAGGTTTATAAAGAAAATTGAAATTAACAAGATGTCTTTCACACCATGGAGGACAGATCTTGGTTTGCACAGGCAGAGATAGAAGAATCAAGCGCACAAGAATCCCCCAATGCAGGGTTATGAAGGGATTGATGTACCTAGAAATACATTTGCATTATAGAGAGGAAAGCTTGTGTGATTCAAACCCGCATCCGGGTTCACAATAAAGTTCTAACCATTTTTCTTCAACCAGCACTTATAAATATGGCATAAATATAACTACATTGAAACAGGCAACTAACTTATTAGCAATAATAAACTTTTAGAGAAGGAGACCATTCAAAATAGTTTTCACGCTATAGAACAAACTTTAAGCTTTCCTGGTGTTTAATATGACAAATTGAATCAAACAGAACATGAATTACTGCAGGACCTACAGTTGTCTGCTTCCTCAATCTATCATAATTTCTCACATGGTGCTTTTTATCAACCCTATGCTAGCTAATTTAACTCCCTCACTCTTAACGTAGCTGGAACTGAACTATAATACTTACAAGTGTTAAAGTTAACTATGTTGGTGTAGCAATACTAATAGTTTTCTCACCCGCTAACATAAATTTTTAAGCTAAAAACGAGTTAAATTACTGATAACAGGCCAGAAAGTGATCGTCATTTGGTTCCACACTCCAGAACTGATATCACAATCGAAGATTTGATTACAATTTTATAGTTCATGTGGTTACGCCTCCCATGAGTCAGTGGGCTTCAACCATAGTCATGTAAGGCTCAAAAGTGAGTGAGTATAATGTGGGAAAGCATGATATAAATCTTGATCACTATCATTGACATGTCATACTCTAGATTTTATGCATCTTAAATCCACTGTGTTGTATATATGAGAGTTTTTGTGTGAGCGCTTCCACTTATGTATGGTGAGGTATGTGTTATTTGATAGTTTCCAAGTCAACTCATGTATTTTTAGTCATAAAAAGTCTTTAAAAGTCAATATAGGTTAGTTATGTTAGTATGTATAGAATGACAGGAAACGAGGAGTGAGTGGTCTCTGCCCCCATTGGCCATCACCAATTTATCTCTTCCTTGATTGATTTGATTCAAAAGCCTTTTGACTTCTACCTTCATTAGTTTGTGACTTGTAAAATTCATCTCCGTTAAAATTGATTTCTTGTTTTCCCCACCAATAATAAAACATTTGGATTTCTCCATCTTTCCCTCTTCATTCATTTGGTGCATTTTGTTATCCTCTTATGCCTGTAAATTGTGGGTCTCTTGTAATTTGAAAATCACTTGATAAAGAAATGAAAGTTTGAAGTGTTGTTACTATTCTTGTATACTTTCTTGCTTGAGAAAGACATTTTAAAAGCGTGCAATCCTTTGAGAAGGATTTTCAAGGCTAAAACAAAGAATGATGAAGGATTGTTTGTTACATCTTTTCTGGTCATCTCGGTGCCACTACTAGTTTTGTTTATTGATCTTCTTCCTCCCAAGATCTCCCTCAAAATCTTTCTTTAAGAATATGTTATTGTGATAGTTTAAGGTTGATAAAAATATGAGCTTTCATTTTGGATTTTGTCATTTGTTAACCACGAGTTTCTCCTTCAATTTTTTTTTTATTTAGCCTTGTGCTTAAGGTAATCTTAAGATAATCAAATCTATTTTAAAATTCTATTGACTTACTACTTTCAATTGTCTAATAATTTGGATCTGGTTTTATCTCTAGAGTTATTGTGGTTTAAGTAGGAACTTGAACATGAAGATCGATCCTAGTAGTCATTAGTTAGATGGCACAGTTAGGATTAGTGGAACCCAGGTCTACTTGTAGAAATTGAATGCTCGCACGCCGCCATTAAATGTTTGCACGATGCCATTAAATGCTTGCACGCCACCATTAAATGCTTGTAGAAGAAATTGGATTAAATAGTGGCCGCTCCTCCCCTCCACAATTTTATATAAGGCGTTGGCACAAGACGAAGAAAAATGAATTATAAGGTTTCAAGTTCTCCCTCCGTCTCTTCTGTGATTTGCTTGCGGTGAGGACTTATCTCTTCCCTGCGGTTCGTTCTTCTTCGGTGGCTCACGGGAAAAGGATGAGAGAGGAGGTTGAAGGAGAGGAGCGAGAAGAGTGGGAGAGTTTTCTAACAATCGTCGAGGTGATCGACGGGTGTATTCCTCAAAAAAATAAAATTTTCTGCAACTCCGTGGACATAAGCAATTTGTCGAACCACGTAAAACTGTGACTGTGTTCTTTTAATTTGAGAATTTTTTCTCGATCCAATTTTTTTCGCTTTATTGTCACCGTATTTTTCACAACAATTAGTATCAGAGTCTCAGTTCAGATCTGAGGAAAAACGATGACTAAAGAAAAAGTAAAGGTTTCGGGGATCGAGAAGTTCAACGACACAGATTTTGGTTACTGGAGGATGCAGATAGAGGACACCTCTATGGGGGGAAACTCCATCGCCCGTTACTGGGAAAGCGACCGGAGAAGATGGATGAAGCCCACTGAAATTTGTTAGATCGACAAGTTTTGTGGGTTAATCGATTGATCCTTGCACACAACGTAATCGAAGAAAGGACAACTACAGATCTCAATAGCAGCCCTGTCAGGTATGAACAAACAACCATCAGTGAATAACAAGGTGTATCTGATGAAGAATTTATTCAGTTTGAAGATGGCAGAAGGTAAGTATGTTGTACAACACATGAATGATTTTAATACTATCACAAATCAATTATCGTCTGTGGAAATTGAATTTGATGATGAGATACGTGCACTAATCTTGTTGGCTTCATTGTCAAATAGTTGGGGAATCATGAGGCTGGTTGTCAGTAATTTTACAGATAAATCTAAACTGAAATGTGACGATATCCGTGATTTGATTTTGGCTAAGGAGGTGCACAGGAAAGATTCAGGCGAGATCTTATGTTTGAGTTTGACACTTAATGTTGATTTCAGAGGGAGATCATATGACAGGAACTCAAACAGA